TCAGAGGGAGTGGACCGATAGTCCACATTTTCGATCCTGAACTAAGTTTGGAAGAATAATAAGATATGCACAGGTTGGATGAAATCAACATTTTCTGGAACATGGTTCACATTATGGTTTTGGTATTTTCCCTACATTTTCATTTCAACTACCTTTTAGTATATCTATGGTGGAGGGTATCCAAAGTTCGGCCCGGCCGAACTTAACGCTTTTTCACTTGTTTAATTTGGTTTTTGGTCAAAAATCGGCGATTTTCCAAAAATATTTTTTCAAAGGTCCGCCATTTTGTTAATTTTAGAGCGAAGTCAATAATCCTAGTTCATACGAGAGCCAGACATGTACTCTTTCTAACACCGTTGGAATTTTCGGATTCCGATGTTCCAGTGATGAGTTATCATGCCCGCCATCAAAAATAAGGGCTTTTTTTTGATCACAAAAAACAACAACAAAACATTTTTGTAAATTATTTTTCTTCCATTTTAAATCTTCAAATATATGTGTGCATAGTTACTAATCTTAAAAATCGAGAATGGAGGGGGTTCCCTTAAAGCAAATTTTGACCGACAGTTTTCTTTTGGGCGTTAATGGGTTAAATATTAATTTTGAACTTCATCTACGACCCAAGCCTTCCAGAAATAACTAGATAGTTTATTAAAACATTCAATTTATATTATTTAACACATTCATCACATTTTCTAAATTGCTAAATATTTGTTTTTTTTCTTTTTTTTTATTGCGGCAGCATAAAAAAATTCATAATTGAGCGATAACCTCACATTGTGTGGGCTATTAATGTTAGATTATAGGTACGCTTACCACATGTTCACAGATCATACATTTGTTTATAGAAATTAATGCCAGATTTGTTCCATAATCTAACTATTGCGGTCATAAAAATTAGGAAATTTCAAGAATATTTTCAACAAATTTATCGCCTAAAATGATACTAGAATGATGAAATAGTGGTCATAAAAATATGTTATGCTATGTTAAAGTTTCTTGGATTGAAATATGCAGCAAAAAAACTTCAAAATTTTAAAACGATGGATTATTACAATATAGAGTATCAATATGGGATTCTGCGCTCAGTATTGTGTGCATGAAGGTATATTACTCTCCAAATGATCATTTCGAAACCCAATTTTGTTGCAAAATTACAATATGTCCGGCTAATATTTGAGCAATATTTTAAAAACTTAATAATAGATCTGTACCCATTTGGAATTAAATATACCAAATACAAAATATGCGGCGGTGACATTTATGTAAGCCTGTATCTAAAATTTCTACTGTGGAGATTTTTCTTGAATTTAAAATTTTTCCAAAATCCATTAAACATTTTGGATAAATTGAATAATCGGGTGGTATATTTTAATTGATATATTCCCATTCGGAGACCATCGGTAGCTTGTTTCAATACCAATGGATCTTAAATCCTCTATTTATATAGATATACAAACATGGGTTTATCGATCTAGAATTAAAATTAAAATCCGATAGAAAATGGTTTTACTGCTCTAGCGCCCGGCCCATTTAACAGATAATTCATGTCACGTAATTAGAGATTTTTCAATATTTAGCTAGACAATTTAAATTGTATCTTAATAGTGGACAAGCGTCATAAAATCTAGACAATCCAGACAAACTGGCAACCCTTATTAACGTCTTATAGTAGGACACATATTATGTTACTCCAAAATATTCGGTATTTGATGGATATTTTAAAGCCGAATTGGGTGTAATTTTGTATTTTGGACTCTAAAAGCGTAGGTGCCGTATTTCGATACGTTACAGACTTTAAGCGCGTTTTTCAATCATAATGGCTTTAGTTCTTTATTTTGGGGTTTCGAGGGGTATAAAATCAATCTATCAAAAAATGGTCAATGTGCTACACACCATTTCTAGGTAGTTTGCACCGAAGTGAATCTAAGAGTCAGAGTTGCCAATGTCAGAATTTCTGTTTTTTTATGAATACGTTACATACAACTTTAAATACTGGTTTCTTGAGAATGAACAAAACGGGATTGTGGGTGTAATTTTGTATTTTGGATTCTAAAAGCCTAGGTACCATATTTCGATATTTTACAGACTTTAAGCACCTTTTTCAATCATAAATACTGGCTTCATGTCAGATAGAAAGAACAAAATGGGAGAGTCTCCTTTGTTATGTCTTGTCTCGTTTCTTCTTATTTTTTACATATTTTCATGTTCTGCTTCATTAGAGCAATCATATACGATGTTTGGCATATCGTACTTAGCACTTATATAGCACAACAATTTGGAAAATACACATGCGAATTTGGTAAAACCAATGCAGAGATCGGTAAGAGTGTCTGAAATAAAGAAACAATGGAATGCTAAACTAGTAAAACAAGCTGTTGCACAAATAACAACCAACAAGTTAGGGGAGAGTCGGAAGACGATACCAAAACAAAACACAGCCGAACAATGTGGTGGTGTTTTTTTTTCTTTTCTTAGGAGCTATACATTTGTTTTTGTCAGAAAAAGAGAGAGGAAAAAAATGAGAGCAAATCGTGGTGAAGTAGAGTGAAGTAGAAAAATAGTTGTGTTTTTAATGTAATGTTTTGCATTTTTGGAAAAAAAATAGTGGCTTTCTCATGATTTTAAGAATTTTTAATTGTACTCTAAGCGAAGAACGTGTATAATATAAAAATAAAGTATAAATAAAATTATAAAAATATCTATTAAAAATTTGTCTGTGTAGTGCATTCTCTCCAATGTACCCGATTCGTACCAAATATTATTTTAATTCGACCAAGATAAAGCCTAACCATGGTTCACTCCTTTTGGACAAGCTCCCACTTTTTACTTGGATGATAGAAAATATCGAATCAATATATTTACTACATTTTACAGAAAAAAGAAGAAAATTAAACATCATTGATATATTTTAAGTGATTATTTATACTCTTTCGAGTCGAGCTTGATGATCTAAGTTTTGCAATGAAAAGGAAAGCCAGGAGAAGAACCTACGTACCCACCATTATGCGACGCGTTTCGCCGTTGGTTAAGCGGCTCATCAGGCATATTGGGCTATGTGGCTTTACAAAGGTCGTACGTTGATAGCTTGTATTTATTCCGCCCTGATGCGGAACTTACATATGCGAATTAAATTCAAATTTGTCAAAGTTCGACATTTGTCTTCATTCTAGGAACAGTCCTTTTCAAAACAAATTTTTTTTTTTGTTGTAGCGATGGATAATTAATCCACACACCTACAATTTCTTCCATGGTATACACATGTTTTTGCGCAACCGTTTTGGAAGTGTGTTGATGGCTCAGAACGTTAAGTGGTCTGGCAACATTTGTGTTGCTCCGAGGACCTAGGTTCGAGCCCTAGCCGTGCTCAGCTCGATATATATTTTCAGTCTATATATTCCACGTCAAAGTCGACTTTTGGAATTTGGGCCCTAACACAAAGTCTACTTTTTGAAATTTACACCAGTGAGCGAAGCAGTTTAATCGGACAGGGCCGATCTTACGATACCATACACAAGTACCACGGAACTCTAACTTTCTGGGGAATATTTATTTAGAGCCTGGGCAATATTTCCTTACACTGACATATTTCCGAACCCTTTTAAGAACTTGTCCAGATTTCCTTCACCGTGGGTTGTGTTGTGATGTTCGATCTTTTGACCTAAAGATCGACTCGAAAAAGTACGAAAAATTAAGTTTTTGGGTCCACTTTATCCCAAAACTATTATCTCACTATCACCGTAAGTTATAGGCGTTGTCCTTGGCTATAACTTGAACCTTAAATTTCAAAGTGATCAGCCCTATATTTCCGCCCTCTAGTGTGGTAATGAGTTACTAAATAAGTATAACTCCCAAAGTCAATTTAGAAGTCAACCACTCCTCTTGGATATACCATCAATTTCTCAGGTTTATATCCTTCAAGGGTAAATATATACAATACAAATATATAAAATACAAATTTTGTAATTTTTCACAAAAAAGCCAGGGTATATTTTACCCGGTAAATATTGACCAATCGCTATCAAAACTGCCATGATTATTCTTTGGCTGCACCCCATTCTACATGTAAAATGTCTCTTGGGCGACCAGAAAAACATACAAAAATAAAATTTTTGGTCTAATTCATCTCTTAATATTAACGGATCATTAGCAAAAGCAATAGAGGTCTTCCTTGGCCAGAACCCATTCTACATTCAGAATTTAGTGAAGATTGGTCTATAACTGTGGCCTATATTGTGTTTACAAATTATAATAGACAGACGGACGGACACACATGCCTAGCTAATGGAGATATTACGATCTGTATACTTAAAGGTGGGTCTAGGACCGGTGTTACAAACTCTTGGGGCTGCACAAAGCTATAATACCCTGAAAACATAGTTGTATAGTGTATAAAAAATGCATATAACATCAAATACGGTTTTAATTCTTTTCTCCCAATACAAATCTGTCCGAATTGTGTTAAAAATTATAAACATTACTACGTTCGGCGTAGTAATCTTGGCTACCTATACATCCTTCTTTTGTGGGTTGATTATCTTCTAAGCTATCGTATTTATTAAAGCTATATTTAGTTGATTAACTGTATACAAATATCTCGACTGTTGACAAATAAATATGTACATTAGGAAATTGTTAGTGAGTGGACATATACAGTGGATCCCTACACCTCATATGTGATAAATAAACAAGATAAACTGGAAATTATCATAACAAACTTAGGAAAACAAAGCCTAAACTTTACGCCTGATATCTTTATAAAAGTAGAAAGTATTGCCCTGTTCCACTGTTTTAAAGTGCATCACAATCGTTAGAATAAAATTTGATCAGCAAATAAAAATTAACAGCATGTGTTATCTATTTGACATCTGGCTTGAGATTAACCGCAAGCTCAGCTCTCAATCATCCGACTGCGGCTATATAAAGTCGTGATGTCGGCGAAAAGCCGATTAAATTAAATTTTATTTTTGAACGGTAATAAAGTCTCGGAAGAAAATAAAAAAAGTATTCCACAATGAATCTAAGTGGTAAAAATGTTGTTTTTGTTGCCGGTTTTGGTGGCATTGGTTTTGAAGCCTGTAAGCAATTGATGACTCGTAATGTGGCCGTAAGTTATCCTTATTTAATGCCATTCGAACAATCAAATCAAATCTTTGTATTCCTTTAGAATTTATTCCTTTTGGATGTTATGGAAAATCCCAAAGCCCTGCAACACTTACAGGATTTGAATAAGAATACCAAAGTCACTTACATCTATTGTGATGTCACCGATAAAACGTCCATTAAAAATGCAATCAATCATGTTGTGAAAAGTGTTCAATATATTGATGTATTGGTAAATGGCGCCGGTGTTATTGCTGATCGTAATGTTGAATTTACAATTAATGTGAATTTAATTGGTCTGATTAATACCACCCTGGAGGCTATGCCGTATATGGATAAATCACAAAAAGGACGAGGTGGTGTTATTTTAAATATTGCCTCGGTATTGGGTTTGGAACCTTGTCCACCCATTGCTGTTTACAGTGCATCGAAATTTGGTGTTGTAGGCTTTACCCGCTCATTGGCTGTAAGTTGTAAAATTGTGTTAAGTAATTCGGATTCGTTTTAAGATCGCTAATATGTTTTCAGGATCAATATTATTATCAACGTAGTGGTGTTGCCATAACTGGTCTTTGCCCTGGTCTAACTGAAAGTCCCATGACAGCTAATCCCACAATTAGTGACACTTTTGAGTATTCAAAACCATTGACAGACAAAGTATTTGCTGCACCACGTCAACCAGCAGCAAAAGCTGGTGAACATTTAGTCCAAGTTTTGGAAATGGCCCAAAATGATACCTTGTGGATCACAGATCGTTGTGCCATTAAGAAAGTCGAACATAAATTGTTCTGGGAAGCCTATTAAAATGATGAAGTGCTATAAGGGCAAAGTAAATGTAAATGTTGTTAGATCTTTATGTCTATATAATGTACATACATGGGTGTGAAATAGTATATGATATCTTCTAAATAAATCCTATTATTTTTATATGCGAATATTGTTGTTAAAAAAATATAAAATGTAATTTTCCAAAAATCAATTATAACCAGCTGTGATTTTTTATCCTTCACCATAAAGTATGTTAAATTTGTAATTCCTGTTACAATATTTATCGGAGGCCCCATAAAGTATATATATTCTTGATCAGAATCTATGTAGATTTATGTGTCCGCATGTCTGCTTGTTGAAATGTTACCGGTCAGCCCACGTATAATGGTAATGGTTCTCGTGGGATGTCAAATATTCATAATAAACGTGATCAATGTTGTCTTACTTTTTAGATAATATCCCATATATGGAAAGCAAACACTCCAGATGCGATCTTCAACAAAACTATTTTCATTCAATCGAGCCATTACTTTTTAGATAATATCCCATATATGGCAAGCTTGAACACATGTTTCAACCAACATCAAAGATCGGGTAAAAGAACCCTAAATAATAGGAGGCAATTCCGTTGAACAAGGTGTAATACCTTCGAAATATCGAAAATGGGCGGTGACGTTATCTAGGTGCGATATCAGTACGTGAACTGATATTGATCATTTTTGGTATGCAGATTTGAACCCTAAATAATAGGAGGCAATTCAGTTGAAAAGGTGCCTAACTTGATTTTAGTAGGGATGTTTTGTACTCAATGAGAATCCCAAATCCCTCAGCCTATGGTTTGGTTTTGTCTACTGAATTAAACACAGGTTTTATTATTCGCTATACAATTCTAACGGTTTGGGGGAGAGGTAACAGTAGGGAGTGGACTGAGCGGTTGAACTTGACCTATATTACGATGTGCAAAGTTTCGATGAAATTGAATATTCCAGTCGAGTCATATGAGATTTATGATTCTTCAAAATGTTGACCTTTTGTGGGGGAGGTGCTAGAAAGTCCTATCTTCCAACATTATACAGGTATGATTCAACTATTAGAATAAAATATTAAATTTTGTGTGGAAGGTTGCAGAAGGAGTAGACCTATGGGTCGCATATTCGGATTCGTTCGAGACAAGGCAAACATCTTACATCATCATATTTCATATTCAGTTTGCTTTTATATAACAAATTTTCAAAATGTCGACCCTTTGTTGGGGAGCTACTAGAAGAAGTTAAAATAGTTTGTGGAATGTTTGGTTTAATCGATTGCGGCAATTGGTGAATATTTAGACGTGTTTCAAACATACTGGCATATTTAATATCCACCCCACCCTATGGTAGTAAGTATAATATTTATACCATCTACCATAGGGATATAGCCATTTACATTCCGCTACTTCTTTAGCGAATGTGCGAATTATTTAAAAGGCAATACTGAGTATAATTAAAATTTTAGTACTATTTAGTACCTATGCTCCCTTTTAGTACGTATTTCTAAAACTACATCCATATCTCAACACTACACACGAATTCTGACCGCAACAGAAATCTAGATCTATACTAAATTTGGTATCATTTATTACCCTTTGTACTTTTGTAATATTTTTTTCCAAAAAAATCCAAATTTCAAATATAGGTTCACCCAAATCCAAATTTAGTACCAGTAAGTGCACATCATTATGAATTTCAATAACTACCTACCTTAAGAATCAATCATAAGTACGAATTTACCAAAATTCCCACATACTCCAATCTTAATGCCAAATTTAGTATTCCAACTCTATCGGTTCACCCAAAATCTATATTGTAGCAAATTTAGTACACATAAGTACTAATTTCCCAAACTACACACATACCACAATTCTATATTCCAAAAGTAATATTAATGAAAAATTTCAGGAGTCCGGCTCTGTTGGTATACCTAAATCCAAATTGTATCAAATGTAGTACCATTTTGTACTCATATGTACAAATTTGCAAAAACTACAACCATACCGCAATCCTACACTTCAACAGTAATTCTAATTCCAAATTTCAGGATTATAGCTCTATCGGATCACCTAAATCCAAATTGTATCAAATTTAGTGCCACTTAGTACAGAAAAGTAAAAAATGTCCATTCCTACCTACATAACCTAATTCTACACCCTACAAATTTCCAAAAACTACAACCATAAAGCAAAACTACACTTCAACAGTAATTTTTATTCCAAATTTCAGGATTCCATCTCAATTGGATCACCTAAATCCAAATTGTATCAAATTTAGTACCACTTAGTACAGAAAAGTAAAAAAAATCATTCCTACCTACATATCCGAATTCTATACCCTAACAGGAATACTAACTCCAAATTTAAAGATTATAGCTCTATCGGTTCTCCCAAAATTCAAATTGTACTAAATGAAGTACCATTTAGTACACATAATTATGAATACACAAAACTAACTGCATACCTCAATTCTACAATCCAACAGTAATCTTAATTTAAAATTTGTACTATTTCAGCTCCAAATCCAAAATGTATTAGTGTCATTTAGTACCCATAAGTACAAATTTCCAAAACTACACTCCAACACAAATCTTATTTCCAAATTTCAGTGTTCCAGCTCTATCAGTTAACATAAATCTAAATTGCACCAAATTTAGTACACATTATTATACATTTCCAAAACCTCTTAAATACCTCAATCCTACAGCCCAAGCGTGATTCTTACTCCATATTTCAGAATTCCAGTACTATTGGTCTATGCAAAATTCAAATTGTACCAAATTTAGTACAGATATGTACGAATTTCCCAAACTACCAACATACCTTAATTCTACAAAGCAGTTATAATCTTAATTCCAAATTTCAGTGTTCCAACTCTATCGGTTCACCCTAATCCAAATGGTACCAATTATGGTAGCATTTAGTACTTTTCGTTCTCATAAGTACAAATATCAAAAACTTCCTACAAACTTATAGCTATATCCATTCACATGCTCCGAAATTTAAAAAATTAGAACATTTTAGTACTTTTCGGATACTTCTAGTTCGAATATCCAAAAAACCGTTGCTCCATATATTCTGCACTCTATCAATGACCCTCATTTCAAATTTAAGAGTTCTAGCTCCAAATAAAAATGGTACCACATTCAGTACTTTTCGTGCAATACGAGTTATAGTACGAATTTCCAAAACTCCGGCCTTATCTAACACCATTGGACCCAGAATAACCCTCACCCAAAATTTAAAGATTCTAGCTTCAGACTTTTTACTATTTTATTAGCATAGATTTAGGTTAAGAATATGGCTCATTAATTTTAGTTACACATAAAAACTTCTTATTAAAATATTTTTAAAAATCCGCCCTTATAGCTCGGCATGTCCTTTTGTCGGTTTATCCTTAAAAAAAGAAATAATAATAAGAAACTAAAGCGATGTAATAAAGAAAGGAAATTCGATTTTTTCTCCTTTCCTTGCACGAATTCAACCACGAATTCAATGTGCATCTTCCTCATATGATCTTCATACTGTGACTCAGGCGTTATATATGTAGGCCTATAATACAATTGATCTCTTCTTCTTTTTATTTATTAGTTTTATAATTCTTCACATAGTTTTACTGTATTATCAACTGTATCACAAATTAAGAAAAAGCTGATCTTCACAACAAATTTCTCATATATTTCATGCCATAAATTCCTCTGAGAAAAGTGGTTACGGCACTTGATCTATTTTATTGATTTAGCGGGCATAAATCAAATATTGAAGATGTGAATTATTTCACACAATCGGGCACACACACACTCGTACATCTAATAAAATTCCTGCCATTGAAAGCAACAGAAAATTGCACTACCAATTGTTTTCAATTTTTCAGCACATTTTCATTATAAAGAATAGAAAAAAAAATTACTCTTCATCTTACGTCTTTCCCTACCCCCAATCGCCACGCGTTCTGCAATCAAGAAAAGAAGAATTTTTCAATGGTGATTATTTGTTTGCTATTTACAATTGCTTAGCGTAACCTGCCACCGTCATCTTCATTGCCAGATGGTGGCGGTTGCCCCAGTGTTATTATTTTGTTGTTGTTGTTCTTTCTCTCTATTTTTCGCGAATTTTTTATTTATGTTTATGCACAACTGATTCTGGCATTGTACTTTTATTTGTGGTTAACACGCCCATTAGGTGTGGAATTTATGGATATCCAAAGTTTCATCCAGAACAAACGGATCAGTACAGAGCGCACACACACAAACACAAACATATTCATTGCTATATATCAGGGTTAGCCAACAATACATATGCAAACTGCTATGATTGTGTTGGACACACGCATAGATCCGTTGGGAGAGTAATTTTCGCTCTCTCGGTACAGATCGTCTATGTTAAAGCACACACACACACAAATTTCGAACACAGAACTGTGATTGTATTGGTACACTCCCAAAGCGCCCACGGGCGCCTGTTTGGTGAACAGTGCTATATATCCACACATATGTGTACTCGTACGTAGTACGTCTGAACGTTATTTCATTGTCATCATTGAATGGGAGTGAATGTGTGATCGTGTACCCGTTCCGTCTTCGTAGTATTCACTTCTAATTCGATTGCGTGCAAAAATCATTCTTCAACACTTGTTACCCTGACTTGGCTAAGGTTTACGTTTCAATGCTTCTTTGGCTGATCCAACGGCTGTCTGCCCAGGTAGGAAAAGGTGCCTAAAAATCAACAACAACACCAACTGAAATCATAGTAAATTGTAGACCATAGTTAAATAAAGCAAACATAGTCTTAACAATGTCTATATGGCCAACTCCAGATTTTCAATGTTTTCCACATGGATTGTCGTCAGAGATGGTCTGTCAGAAACAGTGACGTAAATAACATACATTTCCGACGTATAATACATACGTCAGAAACGTCGGAAACCTACCCAAAACCATTAGGTTTTTGACAAAACAGCTATTTCAATTAATAAATTTGGAAATTACGTATGATTTACTCAAATTCATATAAA